GTTCAAACCTACCAGCCACTCTGCAGGAAGGAAGATTGAGCAATTTTACTTCTGTAAAGATTTAACTGCCTCGGAAATCCAAAGGGGTTACTATGAGTTGGAATCAACTCGATGGCAGTGAGTTTGGATTTTTTTTTTTTTTTTTTTTTTTAGTGTTATATACAAACGTTCAATGTGATTCTGATTTTATAACTCAAAGTTGTTAGCTTCAATATCAGAGTCTCAGTTCACTGAGAGCTCAAATATAACCATGGTTTTGAGCCAACTTAACCCAGTTCAGTCATGGTTGATTAAACAAAAATGGAACAGATCTGAATTTGTAAAATTTGAGTAATGCAGAGGGATAATCAGAAAAAGAAAAATCATAGGTCAAAGCTCTGGAATGGGAGACTGAGACGAGGTATAATGAGTCCTTTCAGGAGCCTGGTGATGGAGATTATATTATTGCCAGGAAGGTGGACAGCCACACACATTCAAAGTAGGGTAGCTGGCTGCTATCTCTGAGGGGAGCATTGTTGTTTACAACTGTGCTGGTAAACTGATTTGGTGGCTATGAAACATGCACACTGCGTTTGTTTTCTAAGAGAGAGATTCCACATCTAGCAGGGTGTTGACCCATAATTTTTCCTGTTCTATTGTTGTAGGTCATCTACATTTTACAAATTCTAACCCATTCTGGTTTCACTTCCTTGGCCGTCACTGAACTGGGAAGAACTGATTCAAAGCCCTGGTTATAACATAGAAGTTTCAGATTCATTTTCACCATGTATAATTAGAGAGTAACTATGTACTCGTTCATGACTAGAAAATAAGACAGACATGGCCTCAAGTAGCTTTCTGAGAAAGTAAAGCGTTTGGTGAAACATTTTATTAGAAGATAAACTGGTATTCTTCCCAGGTGCCCTGTACCAGGTCATTGCATCCATCCCTTTATAGCTATGAGTTTCAACTGCTTTCTTCTCCTAAAAATTGTCCTCAACTAACATTGGCTAACAGAGCTCTGGTGGTTAAAGTATTTAGCTACTAACCAAAAGTTCAGTGGTTCAAACCCTCCAGCTGCTTTGTGGGAGAAAGATAAGGCAGTATGCTTCCATAAAGATTACAACATTAGAAACCCTATGGGTCAGTTCTACTCTGTCCCATAGGGTTGCTGTAAGTCAGAATTGACTCAGTGTCAGTGGGTTTGATTTGTTGGTTGGTGGAAAGAGACAATGAGAAGGTCAATATCATCAGTCAGAACAATACCAGAGGCCAAGAGAGTAACAGACCATCAACTGCTCCTAGTTCAACTTGAAGCTGAAGAAAATTAAAATAAGTCCATGAGAGCCAAAATACTACCTTGATTATATCCCACCTGAATCTAGAGACCTTCTGAAGAACAGATTTGATGCACTGAACAGCAACGACCAAAGACCAGAGGAATTGTGGGATGACATCAAGAACATCATACAAAACGAAAGCAAAAGGCATTAAAAAGATTAAGGAAGAAAGAAAAAACAAAAATGTATGTCAGAAGAGACTCTGAAACTTGCTGTTGAATGAAGAGTAGCTAAAGTGAATGGAAGAAAGGATGAAGTAAAAGAGCTAAACAGAAGATTTCCAAGGGGAGCTCAAGAAGCCAAAGTAAAGTATTATAATGAAATGTGAAAAGAACTGGAGTTAGAAAATCAAAAAGGAAGAACACGCTTAGCATTTCTCAAGCTGAAAGAGCTGAAGAAAAAATTCAAGCTTTATGTCACAACACTGAAGGATTCTATGGACAAAATATTGAACAGCACAGGAAGCATCAAAGGAAAATGGAAGTAATACACAAAGTCACTGTACCAAAAAGAATTGGTCAATGTTCAACTATTTCAGGAGGTAACATATGATCAAGAACCAATGGCAGTGAAGGAAGAAGTCCATGCTGCACTGAAGGCACTGGTGGAAAACAAGGCTCCAGAAACTGATGGAATACCAACTAAGATGTTTCAACAAATGGACACAATGCTGGAAGCACACATAACTCTATGCCAAGAAATTTGGAAGACAGCTACCTGGCCAACTGACTGGAAGAGATTCATGTTTGTACCCATTCCAAAGAAAGATAATGCAACAGGAAGAAGAAATTATCAAACAATATAATTAATATCACATCCAAATAAAATTTTGCTGAAAATAATTCCAAAATGGTTGGAAGAATACATAGACAGGGAACTACCAGGAATTCAAGCCAGATTTAGAAGAGGACGTGGAATGAGGGATATCATTGCTGATGCCTGATACATCTTGGTTGAAAGCAGTGAATACTAGAAAGATGTTTACATGTGTTTTATTGACTATGCAATGGCATTCAACTGTGTGGATCATAGTAAATTATGAGTAACATTGTGAAGAATGGGAATTCCAGAACCTGAATTATGCTCTTGCAGAATCTGTACATAGACCAAGAGGCAGTCATTCAACCAGAACAAGGGGATACTACATGGTTTAAAATCAGGAAAGCTGTGTGTCAGGGTTGTATTCTTTTACCATACTTATTCAATCTATATGCTAAACAAATAATCCAAGAATATGAAGAAGATGCCACATCAGGATTGGAGGAAGACTCAATAACAACCTGTGATATGCAAATGACACAACCTTGCTTGCTGAAAGCAATGAGGATTTGAAGCACTTACTGATGAAGATCAAATACTGCAGTCTTCAATATAGATTATACCTCAACATAAAGAAAACAAAATCCTCACAACTGGACCAATAAGCAACATGATAAATGGAGAAAAGAGTGAAGTTGTCAAGGATTTAATTTTACTTAGATCCACAATCAATGCCTATGGAAGCAGCAGTCAAGAAATCAAATGGCATATTACATTGGGCAAATCTACCACAAAAGACCTCTCTAAAGTGTGAAAGGGCAAAGATGTTACTGTGAGGGCTAAGGTATGCCTGACTCAAGCCAAGGTATTTTCAATAGCTTCATATGCATGCAAGAGCTGGACAATGAATAAGAGAGACCAAAGAAGATTTGATACATTGGAATTGTGGTACTAATGAAGAATACTGAATATACCATGGACTGCCAGAAGAACAAACATGTCTTGGAAAAAGTACAGCCAGAATGCCCTTTAGAAGCAAGAATGGTTAGACATTTTCTCACATACTTTGGATGTGTCATCACGACAGACCCATGCCCTGTAGAAGGGCATCTTGCTTGGTAAAGCAGAGGTTCAGTGAAGAACAGTAAGACCCTCGATAAGGACTAATACAGTGGCCTCAACAATGGGCTGAAACATAGCAATGACTATGTGGATGGCACAGGACCAAGTAGTGCTTCATACTGTTGTGCACAGGGTAGCTACGAGTTGGAACCAACCTGATGGCACCCAACAATAACACTAAAAAACGATTCATCATTTATCTGAAATTCAAACTTATCTAGGAGTCCTGAATTTTATCTGACAACCCTATTCTTATAGTTTTTATAGTCATTGCTCTATCTTCCACAGCTTTCCAACTAAGTACAGACCCTCAATAGCATCCTCTCATATTTCAGTTCTCTCCCTCCTTCCATTAGTACTAACTTGGAGTTCTTGAGCCCAAATGTAGTTTTGTCATCTTTCTGTCTCTCTCCCAGAATTCCATTGCAAAAATCTATACTGTTTCCTGATGTTGTTGTTGTTATGTGCCATCGAGTTGCACCCGACTCATAGCAACCCCTCCTTGGGTTTCCAAGGTGGTATCACTACAGAAGTAGATTGCCCAACCTTCCTTCCAAGAAGTGTCTGGTGGGTTTGAACCGCCAGCCTTCTGGTTAGCAGTCAGGTGCCTTAGGCACTACACTACCAGCTCCTGTTTTCTCCTTATATCTCCAGTACCTTCTTTTTCTAATCTCCAATGGGAATGATCACAATTTTCACATACTAGAATTCAAACATTCTTGTATGCTACAAAGTACCTAGAAGTAAATATTCACTAATATACTTTTACATAAAGGGAATTTGGAATTAGGAAGAGATAGCTGTATTCAATTATTAAAGATAAGAGAATAAATAAGTATAACAAAAAAGCAAACTCAATGCTATCAAGTCAATTTTGACTCACAGCAACTGCCATTAGTGACCCCTCCTTAAGTTTGCGAGGTGGTACCACTACAGAAGTAGATCATACAATCTTCCTTCCAAGGAGTGGCTGGTGGGATTGAGCCGCCAGCCTTCTGGTTAGCAGTCAAATGCCTTAGGCACTACACTACCAGAGCTCCTATAAAATTCAAACATTCTTGTATGCTACAAAGTACCCAGAAGTAAATATTCATCAATATAATTTTACATAAAGGGAATTTGGAATTAGGACGAGATAGCTGTAGTCAATTATTAAAGATAAGAGAATACATAGGTATAACCAAAAAAGCAAACTCAGTGTCATCAAGTCAGTTCTGACTCACAGCAAACCCCCATTGGGTTTTCAAGGCTGTAAATTCTTTACAGAAACAGACTGCCTCATCTTTCTTCCATGGAGTGGCTGGTGGGTTCAAACCACTGACCTCTGGTTTAGCAGCCAAATGCCTTAACCACTACACCACCAGAACTGAATAAATATAAAATATAAAATCGAGCCGATTCCAACTCAGTGACCCCCATTGGGTTTCCAAGGTGGTAAATCTTTACAGAAGCAAATTGCTCCATCTTCTTTCTGCAGAGCAGCTGGTGGGTTTGAAACGCTAAACTTCTGGTTAGCAGTCAAATGTCTTAGTCACTGTGTCATCATGTTGTTGTTGTTGTTATGTGCCATTGAGTAGAACCCAACTCATAGCGACCCCTCCTTGGGTTTCCGAGGAAGTATCACTACAGAAGTACATTGCCCTATCTTCCTTCTGAGGAGTAGCTAGGGGTTGAACCGCCAGCCTTCTGGTTAGCAGTCAAGTGCCTGAGGCACTATGCCACTAGAGATAAATACAGTCATGTTAAATTTAGACAAGTAAATACAATACTGTACCAAAAAGAAATTTTTTGTGTGCATACCAAAGTTCTGTAACACCTGTCAGTTAGAGGAGTAATGACAAGTCGAGGTGAGTTGCCAAGATATTCATAAGCATATTTTACAATGCAATTAATGATACGAACTCGAGCATTCTCATTTTCCCAATAATATCGAAGCTGAGCAAGCCACTGGAAATCTGTATCATGTGAGACACCTAGAAAGAATAAAAGAAAATAAGAATCTTTACATGGAAATAATTCTAAAATTTATAACAGCAAATATTAAAATAATTCATGTTTTCCAACTTATTGAAAAGGTCCTATGAAAGAAATTCTGTACTGAGGGGAAAAAAAAAAAAAAGATAGTATAAATATTTTATTTCTAGGAACTTTTGATACTTTATCTTTAGAATTGAAAAAAAAATGTCACATACCCATCTCAATCATGTCCATGACCACATCTCTAGCATGGACATCAATAGTAACCAAAGCTCCCAGAGTGGTCCTGGTCTGCTTAGACAATTTTCCTCTTACCAGCTCTACAATGTCATTTAATTGATTCTGAAGTTCCTTATAGTACCTTCTTAACCCCTAGAAAATAAAAAAGCAATTAAATTGATGTTATAGAGTACATAAAATATACATTTCATGCATTTACTTTTGTACAAAACAATTCTGACTTCATAATCTATCTCAAGGAGCTCTGGTGGCGTAGTGCCTAAGGCATGTGACTGCTAACCAGGAGGCTGGCAGTTCAAACCCACCAGCCACTTTGCGGAAGGAAGGCTGGACAATCTACTTCTGTAGGGATACTGCCTCGGAAACCCAAGGAGGGATCGCTATGAGTCACTTCTGACTTGACAGCAGTGAGTTTATTTTTTTTGTAAACTATCTCAAATACAGAGATTAATTCTAGAATAGAATGATTCTATATAAGCCTAGTACTACATTAAGAATAACTTTTCAAAGAACTGCTCAATTCTATTATTATTTTTTAACTTTTTATTGTGATTTGGGTGAAAGTTTACAGAGTAATTTCGTTTTCCATCCAGCAGTTGATCTACATTTTGTTTCATGACATTGATTGCAATTCCAACAATGTAACAGCTTTCTTCCCACTTCCTCCCTGTGGTTACCTCTTCCCTGTGTCCTTTCTTATGCATTCCTGCCTTCCTAGCTTTCTCCCTGTGCAAATGCTGCCTTTGTTATCTCCCATGGTTGACTGTTGTAAGAAGTGCACCTCCCTGGTGGAGGTGTTCACCTTGTAGTCCTGCCTATTATTTGGCTGAAAGGTAAGCCATGGAAGTGAGTTCAATTCCAGACTGAAAGAGTGACTGGGGGCCATAATCTCTGAGGTTTCACCATTCTCCATCAGACCAGTTAATCTGGTCTTGTTTATGATCCAAAGTTTTGTTTCACATTTTTCTCCCACTCTATCCAGGAGAACTATATAGTTTTAATACTACATACAGAAATTGAGGGTGTGGGGATTGCTTTTGCAAAGATTAGAGAAGGTAACTAAAAAAGTAGAATGGAAAAAGGAATGTTGTTACTTAAAATCAAATAATGCTTTTACCTCTGGCCCACCACTTATAACTTCTTGTGTCTCAGAAGTCCAGAACATTTGAGAAACACAAAGCACAACTTGGCCAGGCCACTCCCGAACCCAGTCTCTCCTTGCAGATTCTGGATAAGCCTGAATAATTAAAATATATTTCTACTTTAAAAGAATTAAAAGAGAAAAAAACCCTAAATATCAAATAATACATTATTTGGTACTTTCATATGCTAGAATATCATATATTCATGAAAAATTATTTTAGATGACTATTTAAAAGACTTGAAAAGATGTTCATAAATTATTATTATATTTTGGAAATATTTGTTTGTTTTAAATGGAAAGACAAGCACCAACATGTTAATAATGGGTTATCTCTAGAAGGAAGAATTCTACATAATTTTCATGTTCCTATGCTGTGTAAAGGAGTTCTGGTAGCATAGTGCCTAAGGCACTTGACTGCTAACCAGAAGGCTGGCGGTTCAAACCCACCAACCACTCCTTGGAAGGAAGGTTGGGCAATCCTACTTCCATAGTGATACTGCCTCAGAAACCCAAGGAGGGGTCGCTATGAGTCAGGGCCGACTCGACAGCATATAACAACAACAACAATGCTGCGTAAAGGAGCTCTGGTAGCATAGTGCCTAAGGCACTTGACTGCTAACCAGAAGGCTGGCGGTTCAAACCCACCAGCCACTCCGGAAGGAAGGTTGGGCAATCTACTTCTGTAGTGATATCGCCTCAGAAACCCAAGGAGGGGTCACTATGAGTCAGATCTGACTCAACAGCAGTGCGTTTGGTTTGGTTCATTTAAGGCTGTGGAAAATTGTAAAGATCGCTACATAAAATACATATTGCTTCAATTTTAATGAAATCTAAGGGCTTTATTAAACTGTAAAAATAAAAGCAAATAAATTATATATACTGATGTTGAGATTTAGTTGAAAAGGAGATTATACAATCTGGTAGAAAACTGGACTAGTAGCTAGAAGCTTGTATTGTTTATTTTTAGCTTTCCTAAAAATTTGTGTGACCAGAGCATATAATGTGAAAATTAAATATTACTAACTTTGCTTTTGATTTTAAAACACTTTCACATCTAACACCTGTATATTCAAAGTGCATTTAATTAGATTTATCAGAGTAAAGAGGTTTAATCTTTAAAAAAAAAAATAACTTGTTTCAAAAGTAAATTATAATAACAGATCTAAATTATAAATTGAAAAAACCAAAGGCAGAACAAAGTTTGAAGTTGATACTAATGCAAACTATATTTTTAATAGAATAACATCATTTTAGATATTTGAATGTTAAACATATGGATATAATTATTATGAAAGTGAGTTTTATTAGAAAAATCTAGAAATAAGTGTAAATGACAAACTAAGCTTTAAAGAAGAATGAGGAGTGACTGAGAACCATTTGCTAGGCACATCAAAAGTAAATTTTTATACTGATTAAGGAAATATTTTCACAGACAATGTTGATTCTTTCCTATGTGTTTTTTTTCAAATACACTTATTGAAATATAATGTACAGTGAAATACCGAAAACTAAAGTGACATGGGTCAATGCATTTTTTTTTTGCAGTGTTTACTCCCCCCCCAACAAAAAAAGTTTCCTTCTATATATAAACCTTCTCTTGACTTTTTACAATAATGAACTAATACTATATTTGTCCTTCCGTGAGTGATTTATTTCACTCAGCATTATGTCCTCCAAGGTCATCCATATTATGCGGTGTTTTGCAGATTCTACATTATTTTTAGTGTTGCATAGTATTCCATTGTGTGCATGTACCATAGTTTAAAGTGATATATTGAAGTCTCCTACTATGACTGTGGAGTCATCTATTTGTCTTTTCAATTCTGTTAAAGTCTGATTTATGTATTTTGGGGCTCTTTCAATGGGTGCATAGACATTTACTATGGTTATGGCCTCTTATTCAATCGATCTGTTAATGTCCTTCCTTGTCTCTGATGGTGGTTTTTGTTTTAAAGTCAATTTGATCAGAAGTTAATATTGCCATTCCTGCTCTTTTTTCATTGCCATTAAAATCAAATCATCTTTTTCCAACCTTTGATTTTTATTCTATTTTTGTCTTTCTCTCTAAGGTGTGTCTCTTGTCAACAGCATATTGATGGGTTATGTTTTCTTATCCACTCTGCAACTCTCTGTCTCTTGAGTGGTACATTTAATCCATTGACATTCAGTAATTATTGGCAAGTATGAATTTGTTGCCGTCATTTTGTTATGTACTTTTTCATGGTGTTGCCGATTTCTTTGTTCCATATAATTTTCTGTGCTGAGCTCATTTTGTTTGTGAATCGTGGTATCACTTCCTTCATTGCTATTGTTTTAGTATTTGCTAAATATTTGTGCTGGTCTTCTTTTTCATTCTGATGTGAAGGTTTATGGTTTTTCTAAGGTTAGCCAGTGATTTATAATTTTCTTCCCAAATTTAGAACACTCTGTTCTATCTTGCAGTTGTCTTGACTTCCCTACCATTTAGAAGATCTGTAACTACACAATTTTTTCCCTCCTTTTTGGTTTGTAGTTGTCCTCATTTGTCAATTGATGTCTCTGCTTCCTTATTCACAATCTTGTAGGCTTATCTACTTTGGATACTTCCATAACTGGGTTGCTTTCTGGGTTATGTCATCACATGTGTTAATGGTTGGTTGTTGCTTGCTGTTGTTGATTCTCTGTTCAAAGGACTCTCTTTAGCATCTCTTGTAAGGTTGGTCTGGTTTTATAATCCCTTAATATCTTCTTATCTGGAAATGCCCTAATTTCACCATCATATTTGAGGGACAATTTTGCTGGGTGTATAATTCTTGTTTGGAAATTTTTCACTTAAAGGGTTTTACATATACCATCCCATTGTCTTCTCACCTGCATGGTTTCTGCTGAGAAATCTGAGCTTAGGCTTATTGGTTGTGCCTTGTGGGTAACTATTCATTTTTCCCATGCTGCATTCAGGATTCTTTGTCTTTGCTTTTGGTGAGTGTGATGATGATATGTCTTGGTGATTTTCTTTTGGGGTCTATACTGTTTGGGGTTTGGTGGACTTCTTGAATGGATATAGTCTCATCTTTCATCATACCAGGGAAATTCTCTTCTAACAAATCTTCGACAATTTTCTCTGTGGTTGTATTTGTCTCTTCCTGTTCAGGAATTCCAATGACACGTAGGTTATTCCTTTTGATGGTATCCCACATGAACCTTAGGCTTTCTTGATTTTGTTTTGATCTTTTTCCTGATTGATCCCTTTCCAAAGAAGTATCCAGGTATTTGTCTTCAATCTCACAAATTCTGTCTTCCATTGATTCAATTCTACTTCTTCTCCTATTCAATGTGTCATCTATTTCTGAAAATCTTCCAAATTCCTGTCTGTAGATTTTGTATCATTTCCAATTTTTCATTTATTTTGTCATTTTATTCGTCTTGTTTTTTGAAATTGTTGTAGGGTTTTCTCTGTGTTTTCCTTGATCTGTCTCTCAATCTGGTGAAGATACCTACATATAATTCTTTTGAATTCCTTATCAGGGAGTTCCCAGTGCTGCTTCTTCCTCAGGGATGTGTTCTGGGTCTGTATCCTGGTCCCTTGTTTCTCCTGCTTTATCTTGCTTCTTTGTGTGGACTGTGATGTTCTGTTGTCTCCGAGGCATTGTGCCGTTTTTGTGTTTATATTCAGTTGGTGATTGTATATTGGAGTGACTTGCCCATGAATTTCATTTTCTTTGTTTTGTTTGGATGCTATCTACATAAGCAGGGTACTGTGCTCCTCTGTTTGCTAGTTGGCAGCATCTATACACTCACCACCTGTCTCCTTTCCTGTTGTCAGCTTCCCATATGTCCCTGCCAGCTGTGGCAAACAGAGCCTATTCTTAGATCCCTGGAATCTGAATAACAATGCTGTCACTTTAAATATCCAAATTGGCCACCGCTAGTACACATTCAAAATGGCTGCACCCGCAGTCACTTTAAATATCCAAAATGGCTGCCACGTGTAAACATTCAAAATGGCTGTACCCACTGAACAGCCAAAAGTCTGCAGCTCAGGTTGTCTCCCTCCTTGCTGTTTCCCTTCCTAAACATAGGCCACCAGTGCAGTTGTCCCTGCAGCCCTTGGCAACCAGGGCTAATCTTTAGGTCAATTCTCAAGTCACAACACCACTTGGAAATATTCAGGCTGTTGGTCCCATCAGTAGCTGACAGTCCGCAGCTATGTGCATCTCCATACTCACTGTTTTATTCAGGTTTCCCACTAGTTGATGCCTAATCCACTTCTGTACATTTCCTTCTAAAGCTCAGGGCTCTAGGATTATCTTCTGTATCTCTATCAATTGGTTTAGCTTTTCTTTGTTGAAGAGGGTCTGTGTAGCTTGTCTGACTATTCTGCCATCTTACTGGAAGTCTGATTCTTTCCTATGTGTCTTTACTTATTAAATTAAGTGTTTTCCTATTTTTGAATCATAAATAGAAAAAGGAGATAAAAAGTCAAGCTTTATCTACAAAATTCTGAGGCTGAACAGAATAGCCACTGTAAGAAGCTGAGAATCATATTGCTCTTGATCAAAGAAAAAGGATATCTCACTTCAAAGCATCTTCTTGGATATAAGGCTGCAATGTCTCTTAAAACTAGTTTTTTACTACACAACCACTCCTTTATGGTCCTAAATGGAGAAATATACTGAGCCCTGGTGGTGTAGTGGTTAAAACATTCAGCTGCTAACCAAAAAGTTGGCACTTCAAATCCACCAGCCATTCTGCAGGGAAAAGATGAATGGGTTTCCTTTTCTGAAAATTTACAGCTTTAGAAACCCTAAGGAACATTTCTACTCTGTCCTATAAGGTCACTGAGTCAGAATCAACTTGATGGCAGTGGGTGTCATTCAAGATTAGATTAACTGGATTAGCATAAATGTGGTACATGTAGTGCCTAGAAGGAACTCTGGTGGTGCAGTGCCTGAGGCATTTGGCTATTAACTAGAAAGCTAGCAGTTCAAACCCACTAGCCACTCCTTGGAAGGAAGCAAGCTACTTCCGTAGTGAAACCAACATCCTGATGACATCTCAGAAACCCGTAAGGGGTCACTATGAGTTGGACCTGACTCCACAGCAGTGTGCTGCTGCTGCTGCAGTGCTTAGATGTTATATGCTTTTCAAATATTATACATCCTATGTCTGTTTATCTCATTTTGAGTTTTTAAGTAATTGTTTAGGTGTAAAAAGCCATAAAGATCATGTATTTAACATCCATGCCTGAGATCCTCTATAATCTATAGATCACAGAGTGTTAAAGAGTACGATTGTCTACAAAACACAGCCACGAGGCTATCTCACATAAGCATTTCTATTTTAATATATCCAAAAATAAACCCTTCATCTTCCCTCAATCATCTACAAACCTGCTCCTCCTCCAAGCATCCCCTCAGAGTAGATGCCACCATATGCACAAATCAGAAACCTAAACGTGATCCTTGAGATCTCCCTCACATCCTACAGCCAATTCATTACCAAGATCTCTTAAATCTGTCTACTTTGCTTCACATCTTTTCCATTTCCCTAGTAGCAATCAACATCATCTCTTATTTAGATTAATGCAACAGTCTTCTAATTTGCCATCCTGTTCTCTTCTTCTCCTGTTCATCTTCTATTCATCTTCATCCTGTTCCTCTTCTCCCCATTAATCCATTCTTTGTGCCACAGCCACAGAGATATAAAAATAAAAGTCAGATCATATCCCTCCCTTGATTAAAATCCTTAAGTGGCTCTCCATTGCACTTTAAATAAAATGCAAATTCCAAAATTGCTTTCCTTTCCAATCTCATCTAACTTCGCTCTGCACTCTACTTTAGACATAGTGGCCTTCTTGGAGATTCTTAAATAATCCTGGTTCTTTCTGACCCCAGAGATTTAATTCAGGGTATCTAAATGTTCTTCCCACTTACTATTTACCTCGTTACTTCCTAACTATCCTTCAGGTGTCAGTTTCAAAGTCACCTCCTCAGAGAGCCTATTACTGACTCTGCTCTATTTTAAATTATATATTTCTTACTATTTTCTCTCCTAACACCTTTTTTCTTTTATAGCACTTAATTGCATTATGATCAATTCCTACTAATACCATTATATTGATAATAATGTTAGGAAAAAAAGTAAAATAATAAATGATTTAAAATTATCAGAACTTTAAGAATGAAGTTCTTGGTACCCATTCAAGACCTCTGAACAGAGAGTTTTTGCACACTAAAGAATATAAGTAAAATCCTAGGAAACATACCAGCCTGGCTGCAGCGATCACTTCATGAATACTCCGGAGCATTAGATCTTCCACTTGAATTAGCCACTTTTCCACAGCACCCCGTGCTGCAGATGTGGAAATAAGTGTGATCAGCTCCACGCGCTCACCTTCAGAACTATACATGGCCTTAATGTCCAAATTGGGAAGGAATTCCAATTTAGCAATGCCCTCAAAGCATTTTTTTAAGTGAGGCTGAACTCTAAGAGGATCTTTGGTCTCTGACAAAATCTCCAACATTTCATCATTAGATAAGAAGAAAAAACTAGGGAAAAACATGCAAATACAAACATTTTAGTTATAATTCATCACACTCCAGAAATTGCTTATAATTTTAGTATAACTCATCATCCATCATACCGAGGGAAGAAAAGACGTTTCTTTTCAAGGTATGCATTAAGGCCTTTCATAATTTTCTCCAAAAGGTCATTGCAGTTCTGCAGTTTCTCCAATAAACCTGTTAACGAGGTAGCAGCAAGAACCTAAAAGAAATACATTCTGTCAGGTCAGCACTTACATACTTCTTGTTGTTGTTATATGCCATCGAGTCGGACCCGACTCATAGCGACCCCTCCTTGGGGTTCCCAGGCAGTATCACTACGGAAGTAGATTGCCCAACCTTCCTTCCGAGGAGTGGCTGGTGGGTTTGAACCACCAGCCTTCCGGTTAGCAGTCAAGTGCCTTAGGCACTATGCTACCAGAGCTCCCATGTACTAGATAAAATTGTATCAAGATCTAAACATTAATTTGTATTATATGTCAAATATGTTAAAATGCCAAGAGGTTTATGAAAATTTTAGTGAGATGGTTATGTTTTTTGTAATAACTTAAAATTCAATAAATCATAAATATTCTTATTTAAGTACAAATGAGAAATTGTGATTGCCATTCATATTTTCACTTATATTCTTTTAAAGGATGTATGAAATGCCTGATATATTTGTGTATGGTTTAATTTTCACTTTTACAAGTGTCACTCATACACCTAATCTACTGCAGAAGGTGGCAAACTCCACTGGCCAAATCCAGTCTACTGTCTATTTCTGTATAGCCTGTGCACTAAGAATTTCTCTTACACACTTAAAAAGTTGAAAATAATAGTAAAAATAAAAACTTCAGTACACATGGAAGCTTTGGTATCTCTGAACTAAGCACAGCTACACCCATTCATTTATGTACTGTCTCTGGCTGCTTTTGCACTACAACAGATGGCAAAGTCAAGTAGTTGTGACAAAGGCTATGTCTCTCACAAAGCCTAAAATACTATATATATATACATATATATATTTATTTACAGAAAAAAAAATTCAATCTACAGGAAACACCTCTCAGAATTTCTAAAGTCAACATGTAAAAAAAAATTCTTGAAATTTTCATAAATTTCTGGGCACCAAGAACTCTCAAGAAGTCTACTAGTTTTTCATCCAGCATTGGAACAAACTGTTATTTGTTCAGTTAAATACCAGACTTATGAAGTCTACTTATAGCTACAGACTATGTGTACTATGTGTACGAAAAATGTGTGGTCTGTCTTGAAACACTAGAATCACACTCAACTTGCTATACTCACTAGAAGTCAAACTCAGGAATCGAGATTAACTGAGAAAACAGCAGATTCTTTTTCACACCCCACTCAAGCATGCAGAGTGGAATGTCAGGCAAATTACCCGTTCTCCTCGGGTGCATTCACCACCACTCCAGATCTCATTTTTTCTCTCTATTTCATTTATTTGTTTGTTTTAAAAGGGAGAGGAGCAGTGAGTGCACACAGTAGAAATTAAGTGAATTATAATGTACAGTTGAAGCAGCTCCATTCTGTATATGAATTATAAGTAGTGCATCTTATGAATTGAAAAGCAAAATTTTGTTCTTAGGATTTTTTTTAAAATATATTTTGTGAACTTTTCAGTTTGCATACAATGGGTCAATTTTTACTTTTGTAATCAGAAAAAATAAGTCAATGTTTACTTTAATAGCCAGTAATAAAGGTTCACCTACTATAAGGTAGAAAACAAACATTTCACCTTTGGATCTTTTGCACAAAATTTCATGATATCCCTCCAATGTCTGTCTACCGTCTGAAATTGACGTCCTTCTTCTGGCATCTGTTGCATAATATCCTCAGAACAAAAAATGGGCTCCAAGTACAGCCATTGAGCTTGTACTTTTAACCATTCATCAATTGTCTCTTGTATTCGAATCAAACGGTCCTCCCAGGCCTTAATGAAAAAGCATACTGTACCAGTTTCCAATTATTAAAGAAAAGCTATTAAATACAGTAAGTAAAATATTTAAAATTTACTGTTATTTTTAAATCAATGTGAAACAGTTCAAGGTCACTTATGAGTATCTCACATAGTGTTAGAAAAACTCTAGGAAGTCTGAGGTTTTCTTAAATTGTTACCACTAACAATTGGAAATGATCAGAAAGTTATTTACTCCAGTTGCCTAATCCCTAGGCTCAAATGTCCAAGGTCAAAAAACATCCAGAAGTATATGCTTGCTTGTAGAATATATCAGTAGTTCAAAATCAGGGGTAATTTTGTCTGCAACCTCAGGTGTCGTTTGACAATGTCTGTGGCCATTTTTGCTTGTCACAACTGAGGGGTTGTGTGATTAGTGTCTACTGCATAGAAGTCAGAAGTGCTGCTAAACTTCCTACAATGTACAATGTACAAAACAGGCCTCATGGCAGGAAAGTCTAGGCCAGCCTGATTCATGGAAAATGGCCCAGCATTATTTCTTACTGCAAGAATACCATTCTTTGTCTACTTCAAATAATGGTAGCTAAGCTCATCTATAATATACTATTTATGCTTAAATTAAAACCATACTGCCTTGGTTTGAATTCTAGTTCTGTTATTGATTAGCATGGTGAATTTGGAAAAATTATCCTCATCTACCTTGGTTTTCTTAGCCATAAAGAAAGACAGTAATAGTGCCTTCCTTGAAAGTGGGCTACAGGATTAAATAGGTTAATAAGTATACTGTCCCTATAGCAGTATCTGGCACATAGTGAGGGATCAATAAGTATCAGCGGAAATTTTCCATTTCCATTTCCATTTTGTCTATTCCCCAATTTAAACTCCCGTTATAATTTTGATACTATGAAGCTATTAGTTACTATAATTTATGTGCTTTCTCTTTTTACTCGCATCAACTAAAAGATCTTGAGGCCTCAAGTATTTGTTTTTCTCAAGTGGGCAATAATTCATTAATCACTCTAAAAGACTCTCAAGCTAGTTGTTCACAAATATAATTAAAGTATGGTATACAGAACTTTTCTACAAGTTAAAGACACAGTGAAAACAGGACCTAGGCTTTCTGAAGTTAGAAAAAATTATACCAAAACTGTTTTCCTTCCAAGTCTATCACCATCATGAAAGGAGAATATTTATTTTACTAAAACATAATTTTTCCTTTTTCAAAATCATTAGAGTTACTGTCTCAAATCTATTCTATATATTTCCATATTAAATTCTAGCATTTCACCAGGAAAATGTCAAGATTATAGTCTATAATTTTAATAAACATTTAAAAAAAATTCAAGAAACTTATTTCCACAAGAGCACAGATATAATAATATTGCAACTTTTTATTATGACGAGGAGCTCAATATCATATTTAACATACCTTGATCTCTTTTTCAAATGGTTTGATAAAAGGTGAGCCTCTCATTGTCTGAGTTTTTATAATTTGATCATCAAGTATAGCCTGAATCTCATCCACTGAAGAAAGAATACAGACTCCAGTATCACGATATAGACTTACATGAAAAGAAATATCATCCCAAGTTCCTATCATTGTATGCATAGCTTTCTCTAATGAAAATTCCTTAAAGGAAGTAAAGAGAATAAAGAATGAAATAGTGGAAGAAAGGATCTTATTTACTGTACTGATTTACCCTAGTGAATTGGATAAGCACTTGGCATACTACACTGTCATTTTCTTAAGATAATTTATGGCTACAGTGCTCTTTTTTTTAAGTAATAAAAATTTTTTAACAATTTAATAATTCCTAATAAGAATCATGATTGGTAGACAGTCAGGAAAAAAATAAAGACCCTAACAATGGATTCAAACATGGCAATGACGACACAGTGTTTCATTCTGTTGTACATAAGGTTGCTATAAGTTCTAGCCAACTCAATGGCACCCAACAACAACAACAGTAAGAATAATGTAGTTTTTAAAAATTCACTTGCTATGAAAACTGCTGTCAGTATTAAAATTGACAACAGAATAAAATATCTGATAGACTTTCTTTGAAGGCCTTTCAGCAACCTGGAGTCTGATGAGGCTTTCTTTGTATTTCAAGAATCCTTTTTCTAAGGCCATATTTATTCTGCTACAAATATCATTTCATGATATCCCTATATTATGTATATATTCATCCACTGTTCTTAAAAGGATAACTATATATCAAGATTAGCATATCATCCATGGATATAAGAATGCAGCAGAAATAAGATGAGGTCAAAAGAGCCGTTTCTACACAGATTCAGGAAAGTAATAGAGATAAAAACACACATTTCGTGGGGGCAAAAAAAAAAAAAATGTGGTCATCCATCATTTGCCCCATTTCTTCCCACTGCTACCCAGTGCTATATTTTTAACCAGAACAAAACTATGATTATTTAACAGTTTCATCAAATTTTTATCAAAAAGTATTTCAGTTGATCTTTATGTTTACCTTGCTGGCACCTGCACTTATCACTTCAAATTGATCCAAGTATGGTGTGAGATTTAATTTTAAAACTTTTCTCAGTGTAGTTCCAGAGTCTGGGGTCAAGTCATAGCCTACAATTTCTGACATTTGGTTCCAGTGACGAGCTCTCATTCCTGGATTGCACAGAATGGAAACAATAGGGATATACTCCTAATGGTGAAAATAGAAACAATAACAGCTCAGTCATTTAACTTCCATACACGTACATTTTGAGGATGAAGCCTCAACATTATAAAAATTATAATTCTTCAAATTGTTGAGTTTATGTAACATAAAGTTCATTCCAAATCTAGTTAAGTTTGGAGTAGGAAAGTAACAAAATGATTCCAAAGTTCACTTGCAAAAATAAACATGTAAAAATTATTAAAGTAAAAAAGAAAAATGAAGCAAAATGTTCTATAAGATACATTACAGTGGATGGTAAACAAAAACCAAACCAGTTGCTGTCCAGTTTATTATTTAATAACATTTGTTAAGGAGTTTTGAGATTATGTTCAGGAGAGATATTTGTCTGTAATTTTCTTTCGAAGTGTTTGCCAGGTTTTGGTATAAGGGTTATGCTGGCATTATGAAACAACCTGGGAAATTTTAACTCCTCTATTTTCTGAAAGTTTTGTATAAAATCAGCATTATTTCTTTAAAAAATGTTTTATTCACCAGTTGCTCAATTGCCCTAGAGTTGTGTTTGTGGGAAGGATTTTGATATTAGATTCAATTTATATAAAAATATTGCTATTCAGACTTTCTGTTTAATTTTGTGTCAATGTTAGTAAATTGTAGAATTTCTTGCCATAAAGTATTATAACAGTCCTTCATTATCCTTTTTTTTTCTTAGTCACTCTAGTTGTTGTTACGTTGTTAAGTGCCATCGAGTCGTTTCCGACTCATAGCGACCCCATGCACAGCAGAACGAAACACTGCCCAATCCCACGCCAGCCCCACAATCCCTGCTATACTTGAGCCCATCATCGCGGCCACCGTATCATTCCATCTCGTTGAAGGCCTCCCCCTCTTTCGCC